TCAACAGAGTCCAGATCAAACATCTTTGGTTTACGGCCGTGAATCTTCTCAAAATAGAATCAATTTATTTGAAGAGGTTTTCTTAAAACTGAAATTGAAAGATTTATTTTTTGTCATTTTTCCAGCCTTTAATTAAACACATGTTATTGTTGTTTTGCTTTGATTAAAAACACAGGGACATTAGAATCACGTGTGTAAAAAGACGTAATGAAAAAAATGATAAAAAGGCTGCTCAAATGTCAAGGAGGTATGATACACATTTGTTTGAACTGTTAATAGTGACTTGTTTTATTACTTCTGTAGGAGATACTCCATTGCCCATTCAAATTTGTGCATTGTTCATTGTTGCTCATACGCCACTACCAAACTACTTGTACATGTAAAACAAATTGAATGTGGGGGAGTTGTGCCATGTCATTACGTTAAATATGTCACACGGTTGTTTTCATATTTTTATCCTCGATTAATCATCTCAAAAATATCAAGCGAAAACAAACAAAACATCACCAACATCACATAAGCGTATATCAACATCGATAGACATCAGTTTATCTGAATATATTATCGCCATAACACTGAGAGATAGAGTGATACATCTACCGAATCAAATCGTATCTGTGAGCCTCCAGTTATTTTTAGAGCGCCTGTTAGAGATATTGATGTCATCCATCTGCTTTTGCAGAATGAAACGAAAGAGAACTGATGTCCAAGTTCAGAGACGGAGGAGACAAGACCGCGGGATTAATACATTGGCTAAACGACAGAGATGCGTGAAATACTCAGAGGGTAATAATGTGGACAAACACCCTCAAAAGGCCGAAATATGCTAGTAATAACCGGTGACGCTTCAGTCTCTGGTTTGCTGCCTTTTAAGGAGTATTTCTGGAATGGTATTAGCCTGTTGGGAAATCGTGAATAAACCGTAGAGTTCGTGCATTCAGTGAAAAAAAAGCACAACTAAGAAACTTTACCCTTGTCTGTGTCCTTAGTTTAAAAGAAAATTTAAATGGATTTTGATGTTGGCTTGCTAGAGTTTCGGAGTGGTCTTATTGTTGGGTTTCTTACGAAGGTACGATGGATGAAAATGAAATTAGGAACTGAATTTTAAATAGGCCTACCTGGTGTAAATAAAACCCCGGCTTCAACGTGACACATGTCTTTTACTCGTAGTGTTAGGTTAGATACGCTTGGTTGAAAACACCTCCTACTGATTCCCTAGTTTCCTTGCTCATTAGCAATCCAGTCAGAAGCATTTTTTCACGAGGTTGACATTTCGCTATGTGTCGGTTGACTGATCTCTATATAAGTGAACGACTCTTCACAAAGTTCGTCGACGCCGCTGATAAAGTCTCGCAGGTCTCGACCTAACCTTCTTTTTGTAGCCACTTTCCACCGCCACTTCGGTCCGGAAGATGCTTCAGTGTGTCGAACAAGCAGACACAGAACTAAACATTCTCAAGTTGAACTCTTGGGAATTCATCAGGAGGCTCTTGAAGCATCCTCACCCCCGACTGATTCGCCTCGGTACTCCGTCACGGCTTCGAATCGGGAATGAAAATGGCTACCGGCAGAATAGACTTGACCATATTTACACAATTTGACTCCGGGTCTTCTTCAAGAAAAACTCAGCGCTCAATCTTCCTACCCACTGTACGCCACTGAATGGTGCATATTATTGTGAAGAATCACGCATGGAAGGGTACTGAGTGGTATTTCATTTTGTAGACCTTTGGAGTGTAGCGTAAATCTGTAAGTTTATGTAGCAGCTGTATTTATGCTACAAACGGTACCGCTTAAAACCAGACCATTTTAACGTATGCATGACGTCACATCCATACTGAGGATCAGCTTGTACGTTATTGGAAATCGCGGTAGTTTTTGTTAGGTTTCTGGGATTTTTGTGTTGTAGATATCGACGATAATGTTTGGATTGATTGGATGTTGGCAGTAATAGATTTATCATTGCCAAATCCTGCTATGACAGCCGCCATTTGGACTCGTTTGCACCAGGCTAATGAGTTATTTATGTCTTGGTACTGTCGGTAACGGTGACATATCCGCTTTGGGCAAAAACAAGAGCCATGTTTGTGGGGAGTGCTTATTTAGTTGGTTCCGATGCGGCCGCATCGTTTGCATTTCATAGTCCTGTTGAACCAGCGAAGTGCGGTTCCCACCAAAGGAACCTCCGTTGCTAGGAAAATGGCGCCCTTTCCTGGTCCACTCTGGGCCCATAGACTAGGGCAATTTGTACTGTATTGTTAGTGGTACATAAGGTGCCACCACGATGCACTTTTTAGATGGTGGTGGAGGTCAGGGATCAGATCAATATAGATACTTTATCTTTAAAATTACCACGCAGTCTCAAAAAAGAATCTGTCCATATCTGTTATTTTCCCTCTCAAATTACCCAATCTCTTTCATGTTCACGGGAGCTTACCGCCTTGGTCCGTCTAAAAGGAAGAAATTTGATCTGAGAGAGTTCGATCCATTCTTTTCTCATTTACAATTTGTTTATAGTCCCCTCGCCGTAAATAGAACAGAAAGTGATCCTCCGTCCGATCCTTATCCAATTCTGTTTTCCACCTGTAATGGTGGAGATTTGAAAACCGCCGTGGCCTCCGTACATTAAATTTCAAGGGGCTTGCGGGCCGTTTGCAGCAAATCCTCGGAGTGTAATTTCGACGAGTAAGTCCTAAGCATGCTTTAGTCGAATGAAAATAGACCTCAGCGTCCTCATTGCCTAAAAGTTCAGGCAGGCCTCGGAAACACTAGTCGTAATTTTTTTTAATTTGATTTTTTTTGTCAGTAGGGTAGAGAACTCGTTGCGCATGGTTTCGCTAAATCGTAACGAAAAGTGTACTGGTTTTTGTAATAATGATTTTATTCTGTCAGTTGCGAAACGAAATGTTATCAGCTCAGAGCTTGACTCGAGCAGAATTGGGTCAATAAATAGAATCACAAAGAGGTAAGTGAAGGTGGAAATAGAGATGATAAAGACGCAGAGAGCGAAGAAACAGGACGCGCGAGTGCTCGGGAAATAACGGCCAGAGAGCGGGAGGAATGCAATATTGGCAAATTATTGAGGGTTTTGGCAAAGGGGAAAGATGGTAGCTTGGGGCTTCATTGCACGAACGGGCCCACCAGCGAAGAGCGGCTGTGCAAAGAAAGCAGGCGGACTAAAGGAGGTGTAAGTCTACACTGGCACACCCCTACAAGCTTGTTGAGAATGTGTTCAGCGTACGCAGCAAGCCGCTCACTATAAATACACTCCCAGCAGCTCTCCTTCCCCGCCATCTTTTGTGAGCAGAGTCAGCTAGTATCATATTTTACCTGCACACGGGACGAGCAATACCTCATTAGTATGAATGCATTCAATAAAAACCAAGGGCTTGAAATATGCATCACTGACCCTTTTATAGAATTAGGCATAGAGTGAACAATTTTTAAATTGAACTTTGGTGGGGTTGGCCTCACAATTTTAGCGCCACTTCACCGAGAGTCCGCTGTCGGTGTTTTTTCCTCATTTCGACTAACATGACTTGTGTCTATGTTCTAGTCATGCATGTTATAAAAAGTCCTTCAAGTGGAAATACGTCATCCAGTTTGAAACCTACATCAGTTCTGTACATCAGGTGCATAGGTAGTACACGCAGTCTTATCAAAATAAATAATAATAATGAAAATGTAAGAAATCATGGCATGTGCTTTGGGGCATTTTGCCGTGAGTCTCTAGTGAAGCACACACGTTATGTTGCTTCAGGCAATATGCCTTTTGCAATTAAAGTTCCCAAACCTATAGTGGTTGTGAAGCCGTGTACAAGCGCGATCAACTATTAGACCGTGTGTTATTCGCTTGCCTACAGCAACCTAATAAAGCAGAAGGCTGCCTTCGTGCCTTGTTATTTTTCTCCTCTTTTAGACGGGATGCTGCAAAAGGATCCTTAATCTCATACCATGGTTCACTGAATCCTTCACATTCAAACAGCGCACGTAACGTCATAGAAAGGCACATGCAGCAAACTGTCTGCCAGTGTAGTACATATTATTGTGGTTGGTCATATGGACAGGATTTCCAAAATTTACGATGACCCTCATTTAGCATGGAATAAAAATAATTGTCCACCCCCCATCCCCTCGAAAATGTGACGGAAAAGAAACACAGCGAGAAAGGCTTTTATCCGGAGAGCGTTTGATTGAAGGTTAAACTAAAATGGGTGAAATGGACTCCCTTTTAAGTGGCACTGTCTATACACTAAGGCCACGCTTACTGAATCTTTATAAAATGAATTAGATGATGGATGTTACTTATCTGTTGGGTTATCTCTGGTTTCATCGTCCAGTTGTGTGCATTGTTAAGAAGGCCAAGTGAGATAAAAGCACGATGGATTGATATTTTACTCGCACATTTTTCACTAGCACGTAAGCCTAAGTAGCACGATTGTGGCTGATGACTACCATCGATGCATGTGGATGTTTAGAAAATGGTGACATTTTCAGGCTTGAAAACAGTACATCGTTAATCACTCTTCTGTACTTCAACGAAGCCATGTTTGAATTTTTACCACACCAGGGAGGTTTAAACATAAATTTTCCCACCCTTTCCACCTAAAATCGAGGACAGTTTTAAGGACGGTACATTTTATAAAGGGGATACTTGTAAGAATACTGGCCCCAAATTACTCTACCTTCGCTACTGCTTATACCCCATTATCTGCCATCCCGTCTTGTTTGAAATTTTTAAGTCAGAAATTCGGTCGTCGTATACTGGTGAATAATTTACAGGTATGTAGTGTATGTGTTAGAGCGATGGCTGAGCTAGCGCAGTACGTGTGAATTTATGCCTTCCAAAAATATAAAATTAGCATAAAGATAGCTTGAGTGAAATCCCAGCGGCTGGCTGTGGGATTTGGTTAGAATGTCACTGCACTATGGAACACCAGGAGCCCTCGGCCTGGTATGACTAGGAAAAAATGTAATAGGAGCGACTAAAGGGGACTTACTTAATCGCCTCCCACTGTTCCTGGCCAAACTTGCGCAGCACAAGCAGCTCCAAGGCATGATTGACGAAGCCATACTGCACATAGGAAAGAAAATATACCAAAAAAGGCATTCGGTATCGAACAAAAAATATTTCGTATTTGTCATGGTACAATACTGGAGAGAGCGAAAGTAGGTTTTCACCATTTGATGCCATAATTTACAGTAGGTTTGTGTTTGGTTCATGCCATATCTTGACTGAATATTCATTATTCTTTGTAAAAAATGCATGATCATCAGTTAAGATTACCATTGAAATTTTGATCAAGTTTGAAGTCGTAAACAGACTTCTGACATTTCGAGACATGTAACTGCATACAAGTGAAAAGCATACATTTCTCATGAAATGGTTCAGAGGTTTTGAATTCGGATTATCGAGCAATAAACCCTGTACTTGAAAAGCATCTAATGTCATTACAAAACAAAATGCCAGAATATTGTGCACAAGTGCCTTTTCGGTTTTCAGTTCCTTTGCAGGATTCCTTTTTAAAGTATCTGATTGAAATGAAATATTTTCTCTGTGTAGTTCTCGAGGGGAAACAGAAATGTCGTGAAATTTAAAACAGGCAGGCACGTAAATCTTAGGGGTACTCTAAAAATACTTATACCTTGGAACGCACCTCGCTTTGTTCGCCTTGTGCGCGGGCTTTATTGATTTGGAATGATCTTAACTAATTCGTACCTTCGAATTATGAAATAGATTTAGAATTACTTTAGTAATGGTATTCGACCACGCATGCATTCGACCCAAAGAGCTGGGTCGAGGAGAGAAGATTTACCATCGGTTTTGTAGCAGCTGAAAGCTATTAATGTTTTCAGTCTTGCACACTGCACCAGGACGGACGGTGTATGAAGTGCATTTTCAGAGCACGGGAAAGATGGCGTATCAATGGCACCGGCACGTGCTGGAGCCGTTGGTTTAGGTGAAGTTGTGCACTTTCATGCAAAAGTTGAAGAGCACTCTCTTGCTGCATATCAACACCAAATTATAATACCCCTCCGATTCACATGAATTGTCTGGAATGATATTCAACTTAACTTCCACAATTCGTGGTTTAATTCTGCAACTCTACCAATCTAAACAATATTTATTATGGTTTACAACCGACACACAAAGTGAAATTTGGCAGAAATGGAATTCTGAAACTTACCATGATTTCGGCTTTGGTAGTACCACTCTTTCAACCTTACACCTGTCCTTTGTGTACGTGATCAATACGAACGGCTGACAGTTTACTCTTCTCTGATCCACATAGGATTTGGTACACAGCATGCGGTTTGGTCATCGGGCACACCGTGTAGTCGTAGGAAAACCGGGACCTATGGAATCGGCGGCCGGTCAGATTTCAGATTGGGGACTGGTGTCCACAGAATTGTGCTTTAGACGCTTGTTTCCCTTACCAAGAATCCTAGCCTAGATGGGAGGGCGACGGATCCTATATTACGCGTGTCAGTGAGCAAGGGATGGAGTAATTTGCTGCCTTTTCCCTGTGCGCGTGCACTGCAAGCCTCCGCGTCGGCGGTGATGTTACAAAAAGCAAGGGCTCCCTCTGCCGGCTCGACTAGGGTGGCTTTCTCTTATTACGCGCTGTGCAGCGATTCGCCATTCTTTTGATGTTGCCTGCAAAATAGCGAACGAACGGGATTCGTGGCATCACCTTACACTTCAAAGGACTTACAGTTCCAAACACGCGCATGAGTAAGGCAAGCGGGCCTGTCCCGTAAGATGGAATTACGAGACAGGAAGGCCTAACACAGCACATCACAGTATGAAAAGGGCAAAAAGCGAGTGGACTCTTCTCATAATACTGATGGGAAGTACCTCCACTCTGCAAGATAAGATCTTGCACATTGTTTAACTAAAAAATAATTAAAGAAATAAAATATTAAAAAAAGAAACAAAGGTAGTGAATTGTTCACGCGTAAAAATTTCCATTACATTAGGGCCTATCAAAATCGTCTCCAGCTGTGGATATAAAATGGCAAGAATTTAATGATGTGTTTTTTTGTACGTACGTGAGCAATACCCCACTCAGTCGTCCTTGGTAATGGTCTTTTCGTCCTTTTGAGACATCCTTTGAGATGCTGTCCTTATACAATAATAAACGAATGCCATCCTTCGATGACAAGATGGATGCGGTCAACGCCAAGAATTTTAGTCGTCGGGCGCTAGATGAGATACGCAGATCCTCAGATCATGTGCCTCACAACAAAAAGGAGGAGTAGGAAAGCTTGTGATTTGGGGGATGCTTCAGGCATGCAGTTCCTCATTATTTTAAAATGTAAAAAATATGAAATCGCTGAAAATAAAGGCTATACTCAGCTTTTAAGCTTTTCCCGAGGCCATTAGGAAACCTTTGAATATTAATTTAAATTTGTCTATGATAGAGATGAAATGTAAAGGAATAGGTTAAGGGGACATAGGGCCTAGTTACTTTTTACTTGAAATCTAATTTTATCATCATTAATTCTAACTTCAATTAATTTTCTTCTCTTCATTTTGCTTACAAAGAACCGATGCGTCTTTTGAAATATCGTTAAGGGCCCGTAGCGTCTCCGTTAATAATTGTGGAAAACCGCTCTTTTTCCTTTTTTTCTTGTAATTAATGATAACCGTTCACGTGTTGAAAATGGGAACCAAGGTATAGTTGGACGTGCTGACTGTAATTATCGGCTCATGGCAAACTATAGGATAGAGAAATATCATCACACACTTAGCGTGTATGTGCTGGTGGGAGTTTACTGCCTCAGTGCCTATAGCTCGTTTGGACATGTATTTTCTCTGGGGATACATTCAGCAGATAGCAATGTCTGCATATTTTGGTTGGAACTCCATCGCGTAGGACTAAAACCTTGTTGCAGGGGAGGAAGGAAATCCTCCGCCCTGCGGACGTATCCAAATCGTATATCTCTATGGTCATCTAGCTAGTCTGAGTCCGTTAGCTAAAGCCCTCACAAATTCCTCCTACTCACCGGGTTTTTGAACGTGCATGACATGTCCCTTTCCCAGCAAGTAAACATCATGTGTTCCGTTTTCTTTTTGGTGGCCGAAATGTTTCGGTCAGTTAACCAATGATTAATTTTAGCACTTTTAGTGCTTGTCATGGACAAGTAACCGACATGTTTTTACGAATGAAACAGTTGGCCAAGAGTTCGTAGATGTCTTTGTCATTTTGAAGTGTATTTTATTTGGCAATGTCATCTTATAGCTATTTCTTAAAACACTTATTGTGTGATTTTATGTTTTAACGATGCATTATAGTTACCAAATTCAATCTTAGATGACAGTCTTAGTAATTTCCAGAGCTGGTGTTCTGAGCAGCCGGCAGTATTAAAAATGGAGGAACTACCGATTATATATAGTGTCGTGGACGATAGAGTTGCGTGTATAAATAAACAGGTCGGATTATTTATGGTCGTGCCGTGGGTATTTTGGTGCTCTCATCGTGTGGCTTCGGATTTTAAAAGATGGGAAAAAGAAACCTTGCTGAGGAATAGTCGTGAGAAGGAAAATCTGAGGAAGTCTTGCCTTCAGCAGTGCTAATAGGGCAGGTGGAAATGTTTGTTGTCCCGCTGCTTTATCTTTTGCATGGGGAAATGTTTCCTCTGCTAGGGCGGTGTGATATTATTTCCCACGATTGTTGCACAGCCTTAATGCGATGAAGCACTTCGTGGTTATACTTGTGACATTTTCATTAGTCATCAGACTTAATTATTAACCTAAATGAATACTTAAACGTCGAGTACATAATGCCTTTATGTTATTGAATAGTTTGAAGTGCGTGTCTCTCTTGGGGTGAATTTATCAGTAAATTTTTAAATCTTGTAGCTCTGGTTAATATGGGCGTTCCATAGTACCGGTAGTGCGCCTCTAAGAGTTTGCAGTGGTTCACCCAATCAGAGAAATCTGTTGATCCAATGCGCATTTGGAAAAGGTCGACGTAATATTTCGCGCATTGTGACTGGTCAACGGGTTGCAAACTCTTGGGGGCTCACTGTCGTGAATCGCCCGTATTTCATCATTACGTTTTGCAATTTTAGTGCTATGAAAGTTTAAGAATGTTGGAAGAAAGTGCAACATGACACTCTTACATAATACATATTGACGTGAGTTGAAATGAACGAAGCAGAGGGTCGTAAGTAGTTCCAGTTTCTGAACTGATGACGCTTAATTTGAAAATAGCCAACCATGCTAGATATGTTTTTCATGTGAATCAGTGTTGAGCCGAAGTTTCATGCATGCATGCATGCACATTTCAGTTGACAAGAACGTCCTTAGAAGACAACAAAAATGTGCGCAAATTTTTTATTTTTTTATTTTTTTTTCTTTTGCAGTCGTAGTGAATAAAATTAGACACCCATTGTTTTCTCAAGGGAGTCGTATGAAAATCTTTGAATTTTGTGCTCAACGACGTGTTATAATGAGACCTGTTAAAAATGATACGACTAGTGATTAAGTTTTCAGTGAGGATAATTATGGAATATTGGCCGCCTAATGATCAACATACAGAATGAGGATTTCACTCACAGATATTAAGGTAATTTTGTTTCTTGGCATTGGTTTCTTGTACGTCAGCCCCGACTGTTCTGGTAGAGATGAGGTATGCTCCTGGCATGTGGAAAACGCGAACATGGGACCGAAGGAAAGCAGCCGAAATAGCTGACAATCCATCTCTGGGTAGCTTTCAAAGGAGACCAAATTGTATAGAGCAGAGCAAATGTCATGTCTTGCTTAGAAATAAAACAGATACTTTTGAAACATGATCTAGTATGTGATGGCACGCTAAACCTTTGAAAGATTGTTGGGGATAGCAACCATAGCTGAGATCATCGACGAATCGGGAGGACCCCCGGCTTCGACTGTTATACCTCTCAATATTTGTGTAACGTAAGTGGGTTCTCTCGTTGGTTTCAATACTTAACAACAACCTTGCACTCATGGCTTTTAATACGGAAAAACGCCACAGAATTGTTGACCAGGCTGTTGTGTTGATGAGTATTTGTGAAAAGCTTTCCCTTCTGGCTGATAGTATAGTACCTTTAAGTAGTGCTTATAATATCACGTATATTGTACAAGTACAAACACGCACTCAACGTTGTCAGGTAAATTCAGACACCGACGCGATGTGACGGTAATTATTGCACTTTGTGAATTGGTTACTTCATATAAGTTTCTGGAATAAAAACTAGAAGCATTGAACTTTGATTTAATTGCAGTTGTACCGCCCCAGACTTGCTAACGAACTCGCTATACGTCGGTGTTGTAGTCAAGTCCATCACAAGTCCATTCACGAGTTGCTTTTCGAGGTCTATCTAAAGTAACAGGGTGACCAATGACAAAACAATGCTTTTGCCACAGTTCATTTGAATAGCTTGGGAATTGGCTTGAGGGACTCACAGGGACTTATTCTGGACCCGTCTACAACAGTGCTAATAGAAATGGGAAGAAAACCGATGAGTGCACACTGCACAAAATTGATGTTGGAGCCACGTTTCGACCAAATGAAACTTGATCGAGGTGTCCCCCTTGACGTTTCTCAACAAGCGGCTTTTAATCACTAGATCTGACACGTTAGAACACATGTACTGAGCGCTCATTACATTGCATCAACGGGAGTAAGGTGACCTGGACTACCCCATATCTAGGGGCACCATTCCCAGGTGAAGCGGCTACCTTTAATCACAGAAATGTCTTGCTTTTAGATTTTTCATTGTTAAACCATAGAGAAAGGACACTAAGGAAGTTACTGGATTGTAGTGACTGTTCGTGTTTGCACTGAAGGTGACTAGCCAGGTGAAAGCTTCCACAGTTATTTTCAAGAGCTGCTAGAAATGTGTAACTATAAAGAAAAATACCTTTCAGAAAACTTGACAATCATTTTACAGCAATACCTTCAGGCGTGTTCACATAACCCGGAGCTAAGTGGCCAAAATAAACGTGCCATTGAAAGTTCGACTTGTTTTCCCGCGCGCGGGGAAGACAGTAGTAGTCAATAGCCTGTCACCGTTAGCGGCAGCCAGGTGCAGCCGGACAATGCAAGGGTCGAAAGGCCCTCCAAACCAGATACTTGGAACTTGCTCCATGGTAATTACAACTCGGTCTTTCCATCGATTTGACTTCATCAACACAGTTTATCCGATAGAGATATTCCAAGGATTGCTTTGCGGGTGTTTGTGTTAATAACGTCACAATGAACCCAATCATGCCGGTGAATGTCGGTCATGTTGCTGTCTTCAATTCTGACGATTTTCTACACGTTTCTCGACATGGACATACGGGGTGTTCGGTTGAAATTTACGGTGGTAAATGGCTGACAGGTTGCCTTTTGGGAAGTGGATTGATGACGTATTTGTACACAATACTTAATTTATTGTAGCTTTTTACTCCACCTGAAAGTTACATCCCTTTTTAGGTATAAATGTACTGGTTAAATTGGTTGCATTAGTTGCTAGACTGGTCAGATATTTCGTGGGCACTGAAG